TGACAAAATATTCACCAAATTAGAGAATAAGATATCATTACAAAATGAACAAATCTGAGAGAGTTCCACAGTAGTACCTATATATGTAATATCAAAGCAATGGACTTGCGGTTTTTAACAAGAAGTCAAAAATATCACTTTTACTAAAAATGACAAAAATATTCACCAAAATTAGAGAATTAAAGATATCATTACAAAATGAACAAATCTGAGAGAGGTCTACCCAAGGTACATATACACCAAGTATCAAAGCATTCAGGCTTGTAGTTTTCAAGAAGAAGTCAAAAAAGTAAAACATTGACACGGACGACGAACGACGGACGCCGCCGACAGCGGAGCTAAAAACTCACTGCAACTTTATACATGGAAAGGGCAGAATTTATTTACTTTACTTTGCAAATATCGCAGAGTTGTGAAATCTTGAAGTATCATTAGATCACAGTCAGTTGGCGCACAAGTCATAATAAAATAAATGTGATATTTACTATATCGAGGCTGCCATCTTGAATACAGCATGAAACTAAGAGACAAGACTAAAAAAAGACAAGTTAAGAAACGCTTAGAAACATAAAACACTTTCCTGGGGTATTCAAAACCAAAAATTGTCATTCCAACTCAGCAGCCAATCAGTGACAGCCTTTTAGTTACCAGTAGATGCCAATTTTGGTTTTAAATACCCCGGAAAAGTGTTCTATGTTCTTTGTGTAATTAGGTGTTCACATACAAAGGACATTTCCCACAGAAAAATGACGTATTCTTTGTTAGCGGTTGATTATCCCAACAGATCTTTTGGCTGTGACGGATTGGTATTTTTGTAGGAATGTGAAAAACGCGCTTCACAACTTGTCTCTTTATTTAGTTTTATGCCAGATTCAAGATGGAGGCCCCCATATAGTAAATATCGTATTTATTTTTATTATCACACGTGCGCCAGCTGACTGTGCATGATATGCTGCGACTGCACTTTCACTTTATTAGTATACGTCTTTCGATTTTTACTAGCATTCTTGAAGAAAAGACATGTTCTGCTAAGCAAATATTTCATTTGAAATGTTTATTTCACTTTGCTGGCCTTATTAACATGTATAACAGCAGGAGCATGAGATTACACAATTTTTATAAGTCGTACCCTCGTGTCAAAATGATACTGTTACATTAAAGGATGAAATGACGTTCACAAATTACGTCAAGGAATTATATTGTTGGAAGAATTACTCTATTGTAAAAATTGTTGTCAATTTCAATGAGTTTGATTTTATCAAGCTAAATAATGTTTATGTCACATAATCACTTCATCGATAGAGGGCGCAATGTACAGGTGTAATTGATGGCGGGTGCTGAACAATGAACATAGTATTAAAGTACTAGTACATTTTGTTGTATTGTTCTCATTGAAGAATAATTAGTCTTAAAATAGATAATCATTTTTTTCTATTTATAAATGTAGTTTTGGTAAGGGGTGTGCCTTTGAAAAATCTGGCAGACTTGACAAAAAAAAAACATATTTGCACAGAAAAAAATTATGGAATGATATCCGGCAGGTGAAAGAAAAAGATAATTTCTATAGTTTTTCTGCCCCCCTAGTTTCTAATGCTCTCTCCCTAATACAGAGTAGAAACTTTGTAGATGAGGAGCTGTGTAAAGAGAGAAAATCTACTATCAGTGTGATCACCTCAATTAACAAATTTCAGGGACAAATTTTGACAAACTTCAAGATTTTACCAAGGTCTTCAACAGAGTTGTGTTAACCCCCACCAGGCTAGGGTCTCCATTTTCGTTTCATTATTGCATTGAAGATTCACTGAATACACTTGCATTGTCTTGCATTGTCAATTTAAAATTTGTCAAAAACATTTAGAATTATTATATACATAAACAAATTCGTGCCTTTATGAATTGACTGTAAAAATCACTACAGAGAGTAGTTTAATAGCCTCAATATTCGTTTTGAAAAAAAAATAAAACTTGAAATCATAACACTTATTCTGGGTTACCCAATATTTGTTCATTTAGTTACCATTTTGACTTACCATGCTTTTTTAATAATATTACACCTCAAATTATTATACGGTCCATTCACGTGTTCATACAAAATGGTTGACCATATGTGATATTATTCCTATACATATGTCCTTACAAAACTATTAAATTAAAATCACTCAAGGGATGTACCAACAAAATTATTGGGCATGCCTAGGAAATTACTTCTACAAAGTTTGTTAGCTTTATTCGTCAACAGTCTTGAAACAAGAGATTTTAAAATGATTTCGTGATATAAAAGTGACAACTTGATAGAGATAACACCCCTTCTACAAAAGTGCAAGGTTAATTTGCACGTTCCTTATATTACTGCTGAAGTACACGTCATCATAAGCATCTCTCACGCCGCCGGGGAATACTATCGTGTTCTAATAAAATTTGTTGAATGGTATATATGCGGTACGAGCAATAACGATGAATATACAACGGTTTCGACATCATCGTCCGTCCGAAACATCGACGATGAGGCAAAACCACGTTGTGCCTGGAGTCGCTCAACTCCGTAGCCGGCGAAACAACCAATCACGCCGTGTTCCACTCACACTCTGCTTCAATTTGAACCCACTATTGGAAAGTATACGTCATATTTATCGATACTGTCCGTAAATTTACGATTAATAATAATCACAACATCACTTACCGATTTTCTGGAAGGAATCTTGCCAGTGCCGACAGCGCTAGCTTGCAGAATCGAACCTCCAAAGAAACCGGAAGTAGAAATTATTGGTTATTCCCAAACTGATTAATATGGTATATTCCAAATTACATTCACAAAATTCAATTATAATACGACAAAAAATACGTCAGCATCAGTTAAAAAGAGAACTGATTATAAACAACAATTTGTGATACAATTCATTAATTTTTCAGTAAAAATACCTACCTATGAAAAAAGAGGCGGCGATTTATAAAGTGCAATGCAATCATACCTTACAGACTTCTGTGTGAATAAATGAAAGAATACGGAAACAAATTTGGGTAATTATTGCTATTATTTCACACTTTTTGTGACTCCTGTTCATATCTAAATATATCTTGGAAGTATGTTCGGAAACGTTTCCACTTGAGTAAAAATTAAATCAACAGTTTTTTGTTTTGTTTTTTGTTTGAATGTTAATGACATAACATGAACACTCAATTTAAACACGTGCCTAGGAGGAGAGGTTTATTGTAAATTATGATATACATTGAGTGTATTTGAATTTCCATGATATTATAATGAAGTAAAAAAAAAACGGTTTCATGAGACTATAAAGTAAATAAAAATGTCTCAAATATTATTTCTACGGTCTATGTTTTTATTTGAGAATTGAACTTTAAATAATTACATTTCATCTGATATCACACCATATTTTATGTGCTTAGGTAATTTATACTCGAATATCAAGCGATTAAGACGTGGAAATAAAATCTATTTCACATTCAACTAAAAAATCAGTGAAAATAAACTTCAGACTAAGCAGCCAAAATGTCGTTTCGGTAAAAGTGATACCAGCTAAAATAAAGTATTTTACAGTAGGTTGTTTTGTAGCTGAATATGCTAATTACATGATACCATCTCAACTGTTTTTTTTTTTTCATTCGAACCTGCGTACATCCTAAAACCACGTATTTGTATGACCTTGCTCCCATGCCTACAAAAGGGAAAAATATTATATTCTGTACGGATACTAAACTGAAAGTTTGACAGGTTATTTGAACGTACGAAACGTACTAGTTGTACATTACCCGAAAAAATCACGCCAATACAGAATATTATCTTATACTGAAATTGAAGTACAATAGACATTAGGAACAGCTGAAAGCAGTTAATTACTGTAGCATGCAGAGTAGCAAATTAATATGCACAGATTAATTCGAAACTGTGAGTTCCTTCAGTAATTTTGTTGCCACGAAGTTACATTATGGATTGCCGCTCAATCAACGAGGAACACTACCAGTGATCTTTTTTTATTCCGTTCTGCAACTTTTTGTTAGCATCTCGTTCGGGAAGCGACGTACATCGACCAACGTATTTCAGCTAATGCCTCCCGACTGTGTCTGTAATTTGTATCACATGAACAATTGCAGCGTTTAAATATTTTAGCAGTTTATTAGATAATTATCTCCACAAACACTAACCGTGTACTAAGTTTCAATGCATTTGTGCAAGCAGATGCAAAGATACTGATACTGATTATTATGCAAATTACCTAATTAACATGCATGATTTGTACCAAAATTTAATCAGGTCTACCAATTTTCATTTCAATCCAACGAATGACTCTTTATTACATGTACATAGTGGTACAAGATTTGACACAGTCAAATGTACGGACGGACGGACGGCGGACAGACGGATACCGCCACGATATTACCGGAATATTATTAATCCATGGGGCTCTGACTCGGCCTTCCCTGTTCTAGAGTAGAGAAAGCGTCGAATCAGGGCCTTGTGGATTAATTCTCATATTTATATGATGGGATATGAAATACGGTAATCGGCAGCAAACCTTCATACTAGTATTTTAGAAAATAAAACGTTGTAACACGTTTCTCGTCTAATATGATAAGACCTGTAGCACGAATAAGGGGCGTAATTTAATGTAATGTAATATAATGTAATTTAATTTAAATAAATAAAAAACGTAAATTCGTAACCATGGGCAAGGTGTAAAATGTAATCAGTATTTTATTCGTCCGTAATTTGTACAAAGATCTTATTTTTTGTAAGCGCATAAATTATTTGCCACATTGAAGATTCATTGAATGTCGTTATTCGTACGCAATTTACAATTTTGATTCTTAAACACAAATTATCAAATATATTATAACAATGTAAAATGTGATTAGAAATTTGCTTTATCTGTAAAGTGTAAAAATCATTTTTTTTTTACTTTAATAAATGAAACTTTCATTCTATTTCCTGTAAAACGTAAAATGTCTGTAACATGTACCACGTATCCCCCTTGCCCCACTATTAAGATGTTATTGAAATTAACATAGTAACATTTTACCATTCTCAAAAAGTGTTTCCTTTTATTTTTGAAATAAATTATTTGTACATAATTTCACGATAACGTAGTTGGATTGTCTCCATAGTCGCAAAACGGTCACGACCTCCATATTGCGACATAATTTACAAATGCTCGCCCCACGTTTTGCGATTTATAGCACAGTGCAGTTCCGTCGCATGTTACTGGGGCAGGCAATTGATTTTTAACTTCTTTTTACTTATCTGACATGACGTATTTTGTTGTAAGAAGAACTGTCAGCCACCAATAAGTATGTAAATACGACCAGGCATAGATTTATAAACCACAACTACGATTACGTTCGGCTGACAACAACCAGTTTGGCGAAGGTCACCGGCAAGCTGGTGAAGTCCGGCGACAGTGACAGGTATGTCTTTTTATTTTAGAGAGTTGGCTCAAAGTCTTATTGAAAACACGTTTTATTACAAATCTTTGAGTAGTTTGACAACGTCATAGTATGTCCATTCCAGACACAATCGCCC